TACAAAACATATGTGGTATCGCAGTGCTTACTAATCACTTATCCGTTTTAGCTAATTTTTCGTGCCTAAATAATTCTCGCTATAATTGCAAAACTACTTTTTTCAGTGATTGAATCATTAAAATAATTTGTTGGAATGTTAAAACTAATAAGCATTGCTATAAAACGTTTTGACATTCTAGCAATTATTTTGACTTTCGAAATTATTTTGATTATTGAACAAAAATTATTTTCAGATTTGGATTTGGACGTTTTGACATTCTAGCACCTACATTTTAATAACTAATAAATTGAATTTCGGCAGCAACGACTTTAGCTGTCCCCATTTTAACGACACGTCTTAGCTGCCATAGCTATATTTTAGTTTTTTCGGCTAAAATATTCTTTTTTATGGAAATAATCCTATTTGATTAAAATACTCCTTTTTCTGCGGTTAATTAAGCGAGCACTCGGATCGCTGCATTGAGGTGGGAAAAAAAAAAATAAGATTACGAAATTTCACGGTGGGTTTGTTTCTAGTCTTGGTACTGGTGGAGACTGGGTGGCTGTGCGCAGGTGTTACTTGGCTAGTGCGTTATTATCAAACCTGTCCAGTGGACCAAGCTAAGGACGTTATGCTAGGTAAGTTTTGCATTAAAGTGCTGCGTTTTTTGATAGCGTAGTTTAAAGGGGGGTTATACCATCTTTGAGGCCTTAAAAGATACCTTATAGGTTTTATTTTTGTGGGTAAATAGATAACTTTATTATAAAAATCTATTTAGAGCACGTTACTGTATATAAGAAAGTAAAAAAATTTTTTAAATTTTTTTATGACAGATGTTTCTTATGTCAAAATATAAAAGAATTTGTCATTAATTTTAGCTTAAATTCATTTTTTAAATTAAAAAAAATTTGTTGTTTTACACATACTTAAAACTGTATTTCTTACAAAAATGAATCTACACCCAAAAATCTATAAAAAATATAAAAAAATTACGAGAAAGATTCAAAAAATTGGGCGTAGATTCATTTTTGTAAGAAATACAGCTTTAAATATGTGTAAAGTCATGTACTTACGTAAAATAATAATTTTTTCAAATTGAAAAAATGAATTTGAGCTAAACCTAATGACAGATTCTTTCATATTTTGACATAAGAAACCATCGCAAAAAATTTGAGAAAAATCGGCGTCTGACGTTTCCCGAGGTTTACTTGTAAGCAGATTTTAAATAAAGTATCCATTTACTCACAAAAAATCCCAAACTTTAGATATCATTTCGAAACCTCAAAGGTTGTATACCTCTTAAGGCGTAAGGATTTATAGATCATCTGTAAGCAGCTATCACACAAAGTATAGATATTGACAACATATAATACTTATGTGTGTCATCATAATGTATAACAATAAAACTATATCTTTATAAAATTATTTAACAATTAATTTAAGCATATAATTGAGAAGTAATTCACGCATTTAACCTTTGCTTATACAAATATAAACTTTACAGCTCAAATAAGAAGACATTCAAATAAAGTATTATTAAATAATTTAAAAATGTAGGCATCACAAAAATCTGCACATGCCTAAATTTCCTTCAGCAGCGTTTGGAAAATATATATTAACTTTTTCCTTGTTATACGCAACAATATTTTATTTATTACTTTACAAGATTTAATTTTTGTCTATATAAGTCAAATATGCCGCCAAAATGCGAAATCGATTTGATCTGCACCGAACAGGTTTGGTGATATCGAACTGGTGCCTGCTGGCATTGATGGTGGTGACCATTTGGTGCACGTATGATGCCGCTGGCAGGTCCTGGGTGAAGATGAAGAAGTATCAGCGCAGCATGAGGGAGGCGGAATCGAGGGGGGCAAGATTGCATTACAAGCGCAGCGGCAGTAGAAGTCGAAATTGGCGACAACGGTAAATCATCTGACACGCGAGAATATTTCGCAATTTCTTTTTCGCACGTTTTTCACGCGTTGCATCCTTCTCGGCGTTTTTAGCACAAGTACAGGATAGTCTCTTCTTTTCTCAATTTCGCGAGAATTTTCTTTATAACATTTTTTTTTACATTTTCTATGCGCATCGTAATTACAAGTTACATATAAAACGTTGAACATACCGCGTGATCACACATTTTTCTAAAGAGGAACAGGAAAACAGGATCTAATCTCTCATTTTATTTTATTTTTTTTGTACTCTTTATTGCCTCCGTGATAAACAAACGTGTAGAGTTTAATCTTGAACCTGCAGTTTTATTACAAATAAAACTCGAGAAAGCGGAAGGAGTAAGATATTACTTCGCGGGAAATAGGCTCTCAAAGGGTGCTCTTATTTCTAAATGCGTTCGTGCTTGCGGTTTTTTTTTTCACCGTGATGAAAAAAAACCGCGTCGTTGATTCATTTTATGTTCCACTGTCGCGAGATTTTTTTCTTCCCACGTGGCTTTTACGGCCATTTGGATTTATGCGTTAGCGGATCTTTGGTGGAGTGTCCTAATCTAAACGCGCGTGATATTCGCGTTGCAGAAAAGTCATACGTGCCTACCAGGACAGCTGGGACAATAGATGCAGATTGTTGTTCTGCTGCATGGGTAACTCCGATCGTAATCGAGTAAGTGATATGAAAAAAAAATTAATTAACAGAGAAGAAGAATAAATCTTTGCGTCTAACATAAGAATAGATGTCGAAAGAAACCTCGTGTAAGAATACATTTCTTAAGTGATATGAAAAAAAATTAATTAACAGAGAAAAAGAATAAATCTTTGCGTCTAACATAAGAATAGATGTCGAAAGAAACCTCGTGTAAGAATACATTTCTCAAAACTACTACTGTAATGTGTAAAAAATACTGAAAACAAATCTGTTGGAAATGTAGAAATAAATAAGTAGGTAAATAATTTAATACATTTTATTAAAACTTTAATTTAAGAAAGTACGAAGAAATATACTTCATTTTAAACCTTCGGTTGTCACACTTGACAAAATGACTTTAGAATTTTACATTGGAAAATTATTTTTTTCAAAACTTACTTTCTTTTACGAATTTTTTTTCAATATGATGCCACTTTAATTTTAATTTCTCAAAACTATTACCATAATATGTAAAAAATACTGAAAACAAATCTGTTGGAAATGTAGAAATAAATAAGTAAATAATTTTATACATTTTATTAAAACTTTAATTTAAGAAAGTACGAAGAGATATACTTCATTTTAAACCTTCGGTTGTCACACTTGACAAAATGACCCCAGAATTTTACGTTGAAAAATGATTTTTTTCAAAACTTACTTTTTTTAAAGAATTTTTTTTTCTATATGATGCCACTTTAATTTTAAATTTTGAAAACTACCATAATGTGTAAAAAATACTGAAAACAAATCTGTTGGAAATGTAGAAATAAATAAGTAAATAATTTAGTACATTTTATTAAAACGCTAATTTAAGGAAGTACGAAGAGATATACTTCATTTTAAATCTTCGATTGTCACACTTGACAAAATGACTCCAGCTTTTTACGTTGGAAAATTGATTTTTTTCTTAAAATTTACTTTTTTTAAAGAATTTTTTTTTCAATACGATGCCACTTTAATTTTAAATTCTGTACAATCAAAATACATTCGACAATGTTTGGACTTTAAGAATTAAATATGAACAAAAGGCTGATGAGAGTTTTTCTCGCGGTAATTAAGGCGCATGTAATCTTGAAATCTTGTATTAAATCTTTATTTCACACTTGTCTACTCCATGAACGTTTCAATTCACTTTGAATGATCTTTAGAATCTGAAGATGATTCAAAGTGAATCGACACGTTTATGGAGTAGACAAGTATGAAATATAAGACCATTAATACAAGATTTCAAGGCTGCATGCGGCTTAATTACCGCGCGAGAAACTCTCACCAGCTTTTTGTTCCTATTTAATTGACAATTTCGTTAATATTGTCTATTTAAGAATTTTTGCGATCCAATTAAACTATTAGTTTTTAAACGGCAGCTTTTTAAAAATTGGTTATGACAAATTGACCCCAAATGAATAAACTTGATCGAAGAAAAAAAAGATATCGACAACCGAAGGTTGGAAATGAATAGAAAAAAAAATTGAAATTAGAAAATTGAATTTTACCCAGAAGAAAAATGATTTTGATTTTCAACGAGGAATTGTGTGTTGTTCGCCAAACGCGCAAAATGTTGTCCTAAGAGAAGGAACGATGTGCTGTTCGCAGAATTCGTTCGCCGACATCGCCCGACTGCTGAGCGACTTCTTCCGCGACCTGGACGTGGTGCCGTCGGACGTGGTGGCCGGTCTGGTGCTGCTCAGAAAATTCCAAAAGATCGAGCGCGAGTTGATAGTCAAGCAGCGCAAGAACGACACGTACGAGTTCCTGTCGGGAGTGCCGGTCACTTCGCGCACAAAGTTCCTGTCCCTGACGGAGGACGGCGATCTGGTCCATTTTCAGCTGGCCATCCACTACATGCACTTCGCCCTCGCCGCCTACGGTTGGCCCATGTTCCTCGTCGATCCTTCCACCCAACTCTGCCAGTTATGCACTAGGTAATTATGAAGCTCCTAGTTTACTAGTTTAATTGTCGTGTTAATTATTGTATAATACGCATTCTTTGCTCTGATGAGTTATAACAACTAGAATATCATCACCAAGCGAGATTTCTAATTTTAAACAATTACTCTGCATTAAAAGCAAATTTACTTTAAATTAAAGATATACATCGCGAATAAAATATTTTAAAGAATAAAAAAATATTCTAATCTCGATTATCTTAAGAATATACTTTGAGCATCACAGATTCGATTCATTTTTCATATTTCTCACCACGATCGGTATAAAACTTGTGCAAGTTTATATTGCAAATTTTGAGTTTATTGCGGCGTAAGCATATAGGAAAACTTCCTGTGTATATGAAAATATTGCGCAAATAGGTGCTCCGATAGTTATAACAACCAGAATATCATCACCAAGCGATTTTTAATTTTAAACAATTACTCATTAAAAGCAAATTTTCTTTTAAATTTACATACGTCGCAAATAAAATATTTGACAGAATAAAAAAATATTCTAGTCTCGATTATCTTAAGAATTATTTAAAATAGAAGAAAATATTCTTAAGAATAGAATAGAATATTCTTAAGATAATCGAGACTAGAATATTTTTATATTTTCTAATATTTCTGTAAAATATTTTATTTGCGACGTATGTAAATTAAAAAAAAAAAATTTGCTTTTAATGAGTAATTGTTTAAAATTAGAAATCTCGCGCTTGGTGATAATATTCTAGTTAAAATATTCTATTCTCGATTATCTTTTATGTAAGAATATATATTCTTTTCTACGATGCTATCATAATTTTGATTCATTTTTCATATCTCTCACCACGGTCAGTATAAAACTTGTACAAGTATATTGTAAATTTTGAGTTTATTGCGATGTTAAGCATATAGGAATAAGCATATAGGAAAACTTCCTGTGTAGGAAAATATAGCGCAAATAGGGAAATATAGTGCGAGAAGAGCGAACGAGAAAGTATGGGCAAAAGAGTTAAAGAATATTAAAGTGGAAAGTCAATATATTGAAATATGAATAACTGCAGCGAAACGTAACTTTGTATAGGGTGAAACGAGACAAGTATGTACATACAATCGGGTCAGTTGCGAAAAGTTGTTAACTTAAAAAATACACTGATCCGCTCTCCGCGCTATATTTTCTGTTATGTCAATATTCTCACTTATAAATTACCTACAGTATGACAGTGTGACACGCCTGGCTCTGTCATTGTTAGTGTAACGCTCCATCCATCGCGATCGTATCGGCCTAAGCACACTGGCCGCACGACGTGCGGCCCCCGCTTTATCTCGTTTATAGCTATAAAGATTGAAAAGAAATCCGTTTTTTTTTTTCAATTTTTCCGCGGATTTTTTCGGTTTCTTTTTCAAGGGGTAGAAAAATTCGGTGGAAAATTTCGTATATATTCGAAAAACCTATCACATTATTTCATATTTGCAACACTTTGATACACTTTTCAAAATGTTAACATTTTATAACAAGCATATATTTATTGCTGATAATGTTAAACACAAGAGAAATAAAAAGCTATGATTACACAAGAATAATAAATAAAAAAGCAGAATTAATGTATTTTTCAAATAAAAAAACTAAATTATAAAATACGAGATCGAATTATAACTTATAAGAGTTATCAGCTTATATCTAATTTAATCAAAAAATTTACACATTTTAACGAGCAAATTAAAATAAAGCACATAAAGTCATTTACATTACTTTCTGAATCCCAATTAATATTTAATATAATGAAAAATTTTAAAAATTAGGTAGAATATCGTTAACATAGCAATTTTTTGCAAAAAAAATTTTTCGGAAAAAACCGAAATTTTTCTGGTTTTTTTCAACTATAATCTCGTTTATCTTCTGCTTTACGCGGATATATAGATTGCAATGTTGCTGCTGCCTTCCGTGCGGCGCCCGTCACGAGGACACGGCAATCGTCGAGGACAATTGTTGTCGGTGCAATTACGCCGCCCTGAGCAGGATGCTCGACCTGGGGGAGATCGAAGTCGTTTATGCGACCTTCCACGTTGACGTTGGCGAAACGCCGTTCTTCGTTGCGCTCGATTATACCAAGAGAAAGGTTTGTTCGCGCCCGTCGACGACGCGATGTTATCTCTCGAACGTCGTTCGTTAATCGCGGAGCTATACATTAGCCTCTTTAAACAGAGAGGCGAAGTTTACTCTCTTTCTCTCTATCGATACCCAGATTAATTTACGGTAAAGCGTACTTGATACGGTAAAGACAGCTTGACAGAATCAACTGTGAGTTGCGACCGGAGAAAATTTCATTATTCCTCTCTCAATAGCAGAAGAAAGTCAAATAACGAATTTTTCAGAGCTTTTTACTTACTTCGAATTTTCAAAGCTTCGAAGTTTGACAATAAGTTTATTTTTATTTTTTTTCTAATTTTCTTAATTGGGTTGTTTTATATTGATCATTATCTTTTCTTATTTACATATGTATCAAGTTTAATTATTAATTTGTAATATTTTAAATTATAATACTTTTAAATTTTTAATTTTAAGAATAATTTCGTATATTTTGTGAGCATATATATTAATTCTTTTTGTTTACAATATTTGTACAAATTTTCTGAATAAATTTATCATTTGCACGAATGTATTTTTCGAAACTTCGAAGCTTCGAATCTTCGAAGCTGCGAAGTTCGAATGTCGAAGCCTCCAAAGCAAATCGCCAGCCCTAGAATTTCTCGGCTTTTTACATCAGTATTCATGTCGTCGATCTATTATATTATTTTTTATTGTTTCAACATTTCTACACGCAAAAAAATGACTTAGTAATAGTAACTAAATTTCAATAGCTGAATCAAACTTAGCTATAAGAGCTACCGCCTTTTAGTGTCATTACTAAGTCCTGGCTGTTACAGATGAAAATATTCACTGTGACAAAAAAAATGTATTAACTGAAATTGAAAGCATATAATTAGTACAGGCAGCTAAAAAGATGGCATGCGTACCTAAATGTCTCATCATGCACACATTTAGCACGCAGAGCTAAGTTTATAGCTGTACGCGCGAAAATTTGATTTGAATTGATTCTGCAATGTGGCACTGCCGTATGCACATCTACAGCGCATTTGGCATTTATATTTTGCAATATATAAGCTAAATACTCCAAATATACTAATATTATTCTATTGCGAAGATAAAATAGCATAGTAGATTCGGCTGAATATCGTTTGATTTTAGCAGCAAATATTTTTTACTATAACACCTACATTTTAATAACTACAAGGAAAGAACGATTTTGTTGAAAGACTTAAAAATTTTGCTGAAAACAGATCTGAAAATAATTTTTTATTGAATCATCAAAATAATTTGTTGGAATGTTAAAACTGATAATTGTTATAAAACGTTTTGATATTCTAGCAATCATTTCGTACAAAATAATTTTGATTATTGAACAAAAATTATTTTCATATCTGGATTCAGCAAAATTCTTTCCGTGTAACAAATTGAACTTCGGCAGCGACATCAGCTGACCCAATTTTAACGACACGTCTTAGCTGCCGTAGCTGTATTTTAGTTTCATTGGCTAATCCTTTTTCTGCGTGTAAAGACTTTATATATTTTTCTTCAGAATTATTACCGGTTTAATGGATCTTCATAAATTTTTTTTTCTCCATCTCTTCCTTTTTCACACTTCAATCGCGCGTATCTTTTGCACGTATATATAGATTGTGATCAGTATACGAGGGACCTTAAGCATGAAGGACGTGCTGACAGACCTGAACGCCGAAGGTGAGGTGCTGCCTTTGTCGCCGCCAAGGGAGGACTGGTTCGGGCACAAGGGAATGGTGCAGGCCGCCGAATATATACGCAAGAAGCTGCAGGAGGAGGACATTATCGCGCGTGCTCGCGCAAAGGTAGGAATATTATGTGCAGCAAACGAGTCGCGCCTCGTCGCTCGTTATATCGAAATAGACGATATAGCCCCGAAGTATAGTTATCGCTGCCATCGCATTACTTTCGTCATTTGCATTGATAATCGATATAGCGCGGAGCAGCGAATGTGAGCGAAAATTTTAATTTTCTCTTTTATACATGTAGGTATACACAACAATAAAAAAATATATACAGGGTGGACCATTTTAATCCATCCAGTCGAATATCTCGAAAATCAAGCTCGGGAGAGAAAAATTTTTCAGACAAAAGTTGTTTGGTTTCGAAGGGACCATAAGATGGTACCATTGGTTTGACCTTGAAGAATTATTTGAAAGTCACATAAAAGTCACCTCAATTTTTTTAAATGGCATCCCCTATTTTTTATTACATATTCTTGTAGCTGACCTCGAGAGCTTTCCAAAACACTATAATCAAATGTTTCTTTATTGAATACTTTTCGAGTTATAAAGCTCCAAAATTGCAACTTTGGAGCTTTATAACTCGAAAAGTATTCAATAGATCGGAAGAGCACAC